ATTGAAAAACTTTATTACCGGAAAATATTATTTACAAATACATACATAATATGTACATATTATGTAGTATGTACATATTATGGCGATAAGATAATTCTCAAGCCCGTTCGGATTACCGCGTCTTTCGGATTAGCCTGTGTTCGGATAATCGAGACCCTACTGTATACCTTATAATTATGAACTTAAATAGGAAGGCTAAATTTGATGACACTACATTATTGTTTGAAATAAAATAAGGTAGGTACATTCAAGTTGTGGCCAGTGAAAAATGTATAATTTATTTTTAGCTCTTGATATAAAACATTATATTTTGTTGACCCCTGGCTTAGACTATGTGATTTTGGTTGGATGTAACAACACAGTTACCAATAATTTCAATAATTCCAATCGACGTTTTACATCAATTTTAATAGTTTCATTAGAAAAAGTTTAAAAGAATAAAAGGTCACAAAGATTACTTTAAAAATATATCTATATATAAATGGATTTATGTCTGTCTGTTTGTCCTTTATGTATTCCTAAACGACTGGACCAATAGTGACAAAATTTGGTACAGAGATATATTAGATCTATGGGCAGACAATTGGCTGTAAGATTATTACTTAGTATATTTTAGCCGTTATCTATCTTCATGTATAAAAGTATACTGCTTTCAAAATCACAGGAAACGAATTTAACACACAGTTTGAAGTAGTTGTTTTAATGGGCTGCGAAGTGCACGGTTTCAGTTRGTATATTGTAAAATGTAAAAAAAATTCAAAGACATGTCTATGGGGTTATAAGATATTTCTGTTTAAAATATAATTAAAATTTTGTTTTTTTATGAAAAATTACATAATTTTTTGTATAAAAATATCATAGGATACTAAGGTATCTAGGTATCTGAAAATAATTAGAAATGTTACTTTCACTTAATAATACTACTATAGTTAAAAATTATAATAAAAACAGATTTTGAAGGATGATATTACAAAGTTAAATTTTAGCAAGATATCAAAACAAATTTAATGTTAATCCAATAAGTGGAATTGAATATGCGAGTATAAAATTAAAAGACATGAAAGATATGAGAGATATGAAATAAGATAAGTCTTAAAAAAAGTAAATAAATGTACTTATTCATAATAATAATAATTTATATTTAATATTTTGTTGTTATTATTATAGTTAAAAAAATCAGTAAAAAACCACACACTTACTTAATAATCTCAATACACAGGACGTGACGGACGTGTTATCTAAATAACACCTGTATACGTTTGAAACAGATGTACAGATATGAAAAAAAAAAAACTCGACAAGTTAAACTATCAAAATAGGTATAAACTTTAGTACTATAATATATATATATCTTCAACAATTATACTTTCACTAAATTATCATCGTGATCGTCTATTCCTTTATCATTTTTTATAAACTTCTTGAGTATTTAAATTTWAAATTTTAAAATTGTAATTTCGTATAATTTTAATGAAAAAATAAAACTTCATATTTTATCATAATGACATAACCTCATTTTTTGCGCGCTTATCTCACTATCAAACATGGTTCGAGATAATACTATCTATAATTTTGTTATCAAATTATGATAGTTTATTATCAATAATTTAAAAAAAAAAGATTTGATCCACGGACTACTAGTTACTACCACTACTACTACAGACTACTACTACAGTCAACGACTAACAGTCCGTGATTTGATCAAAGAAATTTAAAAATATAAGCACAAAGAAAAACTGAATAGATTACGATCACGATGTAGGTGTTATCACATAAAGTATCTACTCAATGTATAAAGTATCTACTCAATCTACAACGTGATTCGTGTCTCTATTTTTAGTATTTTTTATGTATCTGTAWMACGCAATTGTGTAATGTGTACCCATGGTCCATGAGGGAAGGGGGACTTTGAGGATAGAACTCCTATAATAATATTTTATACATTACATGCATATCATCTCAAATATAGTAAGGCGTGACAATAAAATAACGAAACTTTCTAAATATAACCTAAACTATTAACATTTTCTATAAATCAATTATTGAAATATGATGATAAAACACTTATCTAAAAGAAGTAAGTACTATTAACATTAATGAAATCCGTTCATTGTCTTATATATTTGTAGCATAGAGTAATTACTCTATGATTGGTAGCCTTGTTATTTGATACCTAGTGTGAGTTCGACTAATAGGTACTGCCGAAAAACATGTTAACATAAAATTTCTTGTTAAATTAACAATAACTGCCGCGGAATCGTTTCGGATGTAAAGTGAAGTTTATGGTAAAGAATGTTTAACTTCTTACAACTTTTAAATTTCTTTTACCAACCAGACATAATTCAACAGGACAACAGATGAACAAATTCCGGGTTTTAAAAATCTTTTCGACTATAATATGAAAAAGGTATGTCACGAAAGATTGCAAAGGTCGAATTCGAATAAAAAATTGTGGTATGAAAAATTCAAAAACTATTGCTATACACCTGTACTTTACTAAACACAATTGATGATTTAAATTTCTGTGATTTAAATTTTTTTAATCAGTATATATACTTTTGAAAATATTTGTAATGTTATCATTATTCATTAAGTACAAGAATATGAAGAATGGCTTTTAGATCGTTTTCCACTCTACAGCGAATCAAAACCTTCTTCTTAAACACAATTTTACAGTCACGTTTATAAATGAACTAGCAAATATTCACTTACATCGAGAAATACAAATTAAAATCACGAAGTATTAAGAGTTCATTCCGAAAAGTTACTTAGGAAACTTAAATTTCAAATTGATTTGTCAATTTGTCATGATATTTTGTTATATTAGTTATAAATATAATTATAAATATTAAACACATAATAAAGCATAATATTATTTAGTAGGTATGTGGTAATAATAGGTAATTAAAAAAAGTTCATTTAAAAATTAATGATAATTGTTTACTTGTGTGCGAGAAAAGTAGACATCTTCGTGCCCCCTCCCCCAAACAAAAATCCTAAGTGCGCATCTGATGGTGACATTCAACTAGAACATTAGAATCAACATAATACCTAACGATTTTGGTTTAAATTGTTTATAAATTATAAGCCTATGACGCAATCCTTGGATTACAAAATAAATTTATCTTTACTGAGTTTCACAAACGATCATTCAAATTAAATACATTATTTTGAAAATAGTGAGCTAATGGTAACTATTAAATTAATCAATGTTTTATACAACCTAATATAATAATTTTTGAAACGAAAATAGGTAGTATTATTATACCCATTTTGTTAGAAATTATAATATTTTGTTACAGTTTTGAACGTGATACGTGAGGCGTCGATGCATAGCCGCATATAGGTGGTTAGTGAACAGTGGTACGTTCAAAATAATCTTTCCGTTTTCCGTAGTTTATGGATTTGAAATAACAGGTTTTATATTTTGAGAATCCATTTATGCTACCAATACTAATGCATATTATAAGAAATTGTTTATTTTACTATAGTATTGGTATAGTAGCAGTATGGTGATAGTATGGACAGCATGATGTAACAGCTAGGATTTGGGAGGCACCTACGGATTACTGGAGTACTGGGTACTATGTACTTGTATTAAAATATCACATACATTATGTTTTTAAAGATTTATAAATGTGCAATGTACATAACCAAAATAATATACTAATATGTATAAAATATTCAATAAAATAAATAAAACATTTGGTACTAAAATAAAAATACTCCTCCATCTTCAATACTAATACTCGTAAGTCTCGTAATCGTCAGATATTTATATTTATTTAAAATTTAACTCGCATATTACAGATTACACTATACGATAGAGACTTGGCCATTTACATACTGTCATACTGAATGACGATATTACTTGCTTGTGTATTATTTTGAGTCGACACAGATACTTTCAAAATATAGCATTAGTAATAACTAATAATTTTAATTATAATATGATAGTAGGTACAGTTTTAATTAATAGTTATAGTTATGTAAATTCTTTATAGCACTGATAATAGGGCTAGGCATTTGCGTGTTGTTGTTTTCTTTATACATTTCTGTACGATAATATTATGACAGTGCCATTTATTTTCGTAGTTTAGAAACTTTTCAATCATCGCCCCATCTACACTTCACAGATGGCGCTGCCGTATACAACTTTTGTGTATTATTGGATTTTAAAATTGTTTACATCCAATCCAAACCACGAAGTCTACGGTGATGTTTCATATTGGTTATAATAACCGACGAATTACTTTACTCATACATTGAGTAGTTACGTGTTGGTTATAGAATGATTTAATTAGGGAAAAAATAAGGATGAATTCTGGACTTCATTTAGCTGGACTTAAATCAGCGTTCCCCATATCACAACTATTAACTATAACTATACCCGATAATATAAGTTGAGTTGTTGTCTTGTTGAGTCAGTAGTCACAATATCAAAATGTTCATCATTAATTTTATAAATATATATAAATAATCATAATCTACATTTCCAATTCATTTTCATCACCATAACCCTTATGGCTATAATTATCCCTTGGATCAGGGGTGTCCAACCTTTTGTGAAGACTGGACCACATCATATAGGTAGAAGTTGTTGTGGGCCACATATTTAGTTTTAATAATAATACATTCAAATTTAATGATTAAATTATATCCTATAATACAACAATACATTTTTTTATAATTTTACTATAGCGAATAATAAGCAGAAATATTTTTACCAATATTAATATTTAATTATAAGTACGCAGAAAAATATATTTATTTATAATAAACGTGTGCATCTCCCTTTACAGTTTATTTGATATTTTATAATTTTATATTTTTATAATAAATTTGTTCTCGTAATATTAATATATTATCAACAATTACCGCGGACCGCGTGTTAGACACCCCTGTGCCTTAGATCGTATAATTTGTATCGCCTGATAATATAATGATAAAAAAACATTGGTTTGTTCTATATCTATACATGATGTTTACATTTGATAAACCACATTTCTTTAACATATTATTGAAATCTGTTTAACTCTGAAGATTGTTGTAGGTTATTATTAGTTGTACTCATTTGTAATTATTAAATAAYGTACTGTTAATACTTTAAAGTTTAAACATATAAGGTTCTTATAGGTTTTTCAGATAAAAAAAAAATAGTAACTTAATCATATTATTTAAATGGTACAAAATAGAGTTACCTAAATAATTAAGTTTAATTTTTCAGTAAAATTCTACGTATGTAATGTTTTAATACCTACTGAAATCTTATAACTATAAAGATTATTTAATTTAAATATAATATTATGATTGTGGTACCTATACAGTAAAAAACACGTAGTGATATACGTACATCGGTGTGGAGGGTATTGTTGATTTAAGTTCAACACGAATTTAAAGGTATTTAAAGATTTTTTTTGCATATCTATTTGTACTTTTGAAATTTACAAAAATAAACTAAATGGAAAGCCATTAAAAATGTAAATCTTTATTATAATTTTATTTTTTATATTAATTATTATTAAAATAATTCATAATTACGTTCGAAAGTGATCCGGGGTTGCAAAAATGGGCGGGAGTTTTGTCGACGCAGCACGCCAGACTCATCGTTGACTACCGAAGCTGTACAACTAACGCGCGCGGTACTTAGGAATATCAACGGTTTCAGTGTGCTCGGTGATTTCGACTCGGTCGCCCGATTTTCGAGTATCGTGTGCGCGTAGTTCGTGAGTTTCGATTTTATCGTAATTTTATTTTTTCGTTTTGCTCATTCTTTATACAATGTACATGTTATATAAAATAGTGTGTATAAATATTTAATAAATATGATGTGTCATATAATAAACTTTATACTCACTAAGTAATTAACCACTTGTTATACTTTGGGGGATAAAATGGTAATATATATTTATATTTTGTAAAAACATGCATGTATATTTTAATTATTATGTAAATCAAAGTTCATGTTTTTTAAAAAAAATTTAGTTTTCATTTTTTTATTTAACAATAGATAATTTTAAAAGTTAGGTATTTGATGAATGTGTTTACAATTATTTTTAGGTATATAGGTAATATATATAATACCTTACGTACTCACAGGTTTTAATATTTTAATAAATAAAAATATTTCAATCTAAAACATGTAAATGGAATTAACAATAATATATGCTTACACGTAAATAAAAATAAAATGTACTACTTTTTGTATTAGGTAAGAGGTAGCTAATAAAGTAATAAACATAGGTCATAGAATATCAAGGCAATATAGCATATTATCAAAAAAGTATTAGTAATTATATATAAATACGGCTAACACTGATTCTATTTTTATGTTATTTGCGWCATCCCTCTCAAAATTTATGATGGACAACTGGACAAGTCAGTAAACCGTTGCTGTATCATAATATTGTTTTCAACAAGATTAAATTTGTTGTATTTAAGTTGAGAAACTGCGTTTACATAATCAAATATAGTAGAATTTATCGGAATGGTAACCAAAATCTGAAATAACTTTTAAATTAGAAAAAAAATTCTGTTTGAATAATTGCTTTTTAATAAAATAGTATTCTAGATAATATTAGGTATAAAGAAACCGTTCTTTTCCACAATATTTTTAGTGTTTTATTTAACGGTGTACAAGGGATTCTGAAATAGCGCTTATTTAAGATGTTGGAATCACCTCGAATCACCTCACTAGTTGTGCCCATATGGGCACTATATCACTATACGATCGATACAAATACTTGTGTTTGGCTCTGATGCATGGTAAATTGGTTACATATATTATACCAAATCAGTTAATTAATATCAATTAATCAGTTTATGGAAAAACCTCTGTACGTGAGCGTCGTGAGCAATGGTTGATATGTCTGTCTGACTGTTTTAATAAATTTCAGTTACTATTATTTTACTTTTTTCTTTCTAAATCTTTTATTTTAAATTTCTAATAGTTTCTTTTGAATTTTCTTCACAAGTCATGTTGACTTTTGTTTTCATACATTCCACGTTACTTACTATACATTGTTATCCAGATATAACCTTTTATTTTAGAAATAATAGGTACCTACATATTTTAATTTTGATTAAAATACAAATAATGAAATATAAATAATAACCTATTGTAAAACTGTGTAGGAGGACGCTACACCCGCATGTGTTGTCTTCGTCTTACAAGTGCGTAACATTGCAAATTTTACACTCGGCAGATCACGTTTAGCTCCGTTAGTCCGTTAGCTTAAAATTTAGAAGGAATTTACCTCTTATAAAAATTAAACGTAACGTTATTTTTAAGGGCTTTTCATAGGTTTTTTTTTTATCATATTTTAATTTAAAAACTAGTTATGTGTATTTTAAAATTGTAAATTGTTTGTATATCTTAAAATACTTACAGAGGACGCTATACTCTTAAGACATTTTAATAAATAGAAAATAACAGCATATAGTTAGTAAGTAGGTAGGTATACAATTTTAATAATACAGATTATAATAACATAATCCAATTAAAAATTAAAATAACATAATAATGCCTGACGGTTATAATATTAACAGATTAGATAAACATTATAGTAATAGTTATTGGAAGTTAAATATATAAAAGGTATAGATATGAAGAACAATGGACGTGTTTATGATTCAGCGAAGACGTATTTAAGAAGATAAGATATTTTTGGGAAGCAATGACGTGTTTAAAAGAGTTGATAAAAGCGAAATTAATGGGTTAACGATGGAATTTAGTTGGGTAGAGGGCCACATGGTCATGCCCCCCCCCATGGGCCGTATCATATTATATCATATAATATATAAAAAATAATCGTAAATTTATTAACTTTGGCTATGTACCGGTTGGGAGTTAAAATTAAAAAAAAATGTAATGTTTATTGTTTATCAAAACATCGWAGATTGCAGATAAGCGTGTCATTATCATCAATATTTTCYAAATATTTGGAAAATACAAAACACTGTTATATGAATGTTATTTATTTAATTTTTTTTTTTGGCCCCTCCTTGTAGAAATCCTAGCTACGCCATGGTTTTGAATGGCTAACATCGAAGAGTGATGGATAATCGTGTATATAGACGCACCCATGAGAGAAATGGCAATGGTTCAAATATATTACGGTTGAATAATTATTAGTTTATAATTTTATTCAAATATTGTATTAAAAGTTATAATATATAAATTACATAAAGAACATAAAAGATGTAATAGTTGTTTTCGAGCTTTTAATTGAGAAAAATCATTTATCAAATCGTTAAGTCTAATTTGTCTGTGATGCGATTCTCATACGCTCAACGCTGTATGGACTAAGTGTTGAGTTTTTCTKCCAGTAAATTGGCTCATAAAACATAAATACATTTTTATTCTTTTAAGCGCTCACATAATTCACCTTAAAGCGGTGCAGTTGAATATTGCCATAGAATGAAAAATTCTAAGCGATATGAAGAATTGAAGATATTTGGAAATGTTTGCGTCAGTTTTTGTTCAATAAACTGATCGAAATTTGAAACTTTATAATTCATTGAAGTGCACAGTATCTCAGTTGGAAAATTGTCCAAATCATCTTTATTCAGCATTTGTAAATGTTCCGCTTTTTCAAAAATATGTTCTTTTAACATTTTTAAAATGTAGCAAAAAATTAAATCTTTCCGCCATTTCAGTATAAACCTAGTTTATATTAAATCGATATTTAATATTCCTAGTCCGTACATCGTAACGCATTAGTGAGAAAAACTGCGAACACGTATTTCTCACGCGTATTGCGTAATAATATTTTTTTGTTATAATTTTCTTGAGAAAAAAAATAAGATAATAAATAACAAATTTGCCGCCCCCTACAAGTTTTYGCCCTACGCTCGAGCTTCACAACCCTAGTGGTTAATCCACTGTGTGAGCATATCATTGCAATGTTGTGCAACCTATATCGATGTTMAAAAAAGAAGGTTTTGGTCTTCATATTTATTATTATTTTTACTATCAAACTAGATTCTATATAGTTTTTTTTTTTTATTTTAGAGAGGAACCCGCGACAACATAGGTCATTAAGTGTGAGGTTTTACGGTGGGGGTTTTTTTTGTATATTTTTGTTTGTAGGTTTTTGAATTGGTTTTGTAATTCGTGTTTGTGTATGTGTTGCAAGAATAAGTTGCTAAAAATCCTGAGTGGTAAGTTGTCATCCATCCGAGAGCTAGCAACTGCGGCCGGCACGTACGCTCACTCAGTGCGTTTCCGCAGATTGAGCATACGACCGCGCCTCAACAAGCCACATTCTACATAGTATACACCTATTTATACTTAGTATTGATCATTTACTCATGCACGGTGTACTAATAATTGGTCAAAAAGTGAAAAATAAAATAAATTAAAATGTTTACGGATACCTATTTATTTATAAGTCGAGTGCCAGTGAATAATTTGCGCTATATCTATCATAGATCTTAATGATTCCGCCATTATAGATACTATATAGTCTCTAGTTTAAAAAAAAAATTTAATTCTGATTTACCATAAAGTGGATTTATAATTCATCTTGTTACATCAATAGAGAATCCCGCAAGGATGTAGTTCTCACTTTTCTCCAATTAATTTGCACAGGCAATGTCGGCAGGATGGATAGTTAGTTAAATATAAAATTATAATTATAATTTTATAAAAGTAAGCATACAAATTAAGAATTTTAAATAAAGTATATAAATTATTTTTTGTCATGTTATCATATTTTTTCATTTTCTCACATATCACTATTTCAGACTGCATGTACATTGTACGTGGTATTTAGTAAAACCTAATTACAGGCACAATTTTCTTTAACCTGGTGCAATATATGACAGCTTTCTTTTATTCTTTTGTTTTTAAAAGATTTATTTTATAAATATATAATGATTTTAACAATTTGTACATTTGTTACTATTTATTTATTACAGCTATACATTAATCATTTTATCATTTTAAAAGCTACTTAATTAATAAAATTGTCAATTTAACATGGAATATGTAAGATAATATAGGTATACGTACTTCTTATAAATACATCTTACTTACTATTTTAGTAATAAATAACTTTAGGTAGGTGGGTAGAACAGGTAGGTTACTAGGTTAGGTTAGGCTTAACATATTTTATATTTGTTCGTGCTTTTTTAAAAATAATTTGCTGTTAAAAAATAGAAAAAATTAAAAGAACTGTTTTAAATTACAATTTCTTAGTTATAAGACTGTGTTAAATTTAAGTATAGTCGAGTCTTGATACCTAATCGAATACCCAAGAGGAATAACAATAAGTTTGAGCATTGATTATAGAATAGTCTATTCTATAATCAATGGTTTGAGTTATGTATTTTACGTGCTATATGTTATACACCCCAAATTTAAATGTCAAACACAACTTAAAAATACTTAAATGTGTGAAAAAAATTTGAGTTATCGAGGTTCGAAATATCGAGATTCGATTGTATTATAAATGACTAAATTAATAGCGTATATGTAATTTGTTCACATTGAAATTGATAGAACTGTATGAATGTATGATGGTATAGATTTTCTATTGGAACTTTATGTTTAAGCTAAGACATATCTTATGATTTATGACCAATGATAATTTTTGATATTTTATTTATTAATATATATTATAACGTCTTGTGAGCAATATAGTATAAATACCTTGTACTAATATAATATAAAATATAGGTACAACTTGATAGGGTAATCGACATATTCTTTTAATTAACATAATATATTGGCATATTGCTATATTCAAGTAATGGCATGTTATTTATAATAAAAAAATAAAATTTCTATGAATCAAAAATTTCTAATTAATGTTTTCAATAATCAGAAAAATAATTTGTTAACTGATTTTAAATTATAATTTATATAAGTAATAAATTAAAAACAAAATAACTATTTCTTAAATAGATTATACCAGTCATTATTACTTACTACATAATCGCTTTTATGGTCTTAAATAACATTTTGTTTTTCCCTGTTTAATAATTAATTTGAAAATACAATACATTATTCTTTCTTGTGATTATGGTTTATATCAGGTGGCGAACCCACGGCGTACGTTCAAAAAATGGCATGTTTGTCAAATTTTAATGGCACGTGAAAAATTAAAATTGAGAAAATTATGCTATTCTTAAAATTTTGCTTGTAAAAATTCAAATCAATAAATTATTAACATTTTAAAAGTTATAATATTCCTATATGTAAAATTAATTTACTACATTTATATGATGACGTTAAAATGGTTTGAAATTAAGTTTTAAATTCTTAAACTACATAATGCTAGCGTTTTAACAATTAAAATGGTTTACATTTTTCAAACCGTCTTGACGCCATCATATAATATAATTATGTTGCTGTTACTATATTTATTATGTTTTATTTAGTGTTTACAAACTTTGGGCATGTGAAAAATTGTCAAACCCTTGATTGCAAAAATTTGGCACTAGAGCAAAAAAGGTTCTTCACCCCTGGCTTATATCATCAATTTATAATTTACTATGTCCTATTAAATATGTCCTATATTTAAAATATCTAAAGTCGCTTTCTGACGAGACATAGTCCTAACTATTATAATCCCTCAAAATGGTCTATATAATTATACACTGCTTAAATATATTTGTATATAAATATAAAGTATGTTTGATTTCTAAAGGTATTTAGTATTCACATTGAAGTAGTGCAGATTCCTTGTTTATAAACACACATTACATTGGCCCATCACGACATCTAATGTACAAAGTGGTACTTAAATTCCCACCTTTCTGATTTCCACTTTGCGTCTATACTCCTTTTTTAAACGTTTTGTGCCAACAGTATAATATAAAATAAAACTATTCTTTTTAATTCAGTTTTAGTTTACACCAATGGTATTATATTTTACAGGGTGATTCTTTTATCAAAAAACACTTATTATTTCAAAAAGTATTGACTTTTTTCAAAATGTTTATTTTTCAAGATTGTAGATTTACTCTCATCTTGAATTATATATTTTTCACTCTTATTTTTATTAGGTAAACCACCATCAAATTTTGATTTTTGAATGGCAACCTATACTTAAAATTTCATAAATTAATAAAGCTATTTTTTTAAATTAATTATCATGTTTAAATTTTCATTTTTCGTTAATTCGTTGATGAGATATTGTTCCTCAAACTTGGGTAGTTGTGGGAGGTAGTTATTGTCTATAAATGTGTTATACCTCGTCAGTAGATCCCGCAGCTTTCAGGATTTTTATGTCCCAGGTAAAAGATATTACATTTTTCAAATCAATTCAAGTAGTATAGACTACGTACATTAAGCTTAATTTGTGCCCCTGCCCCCTAAAGCCCTAAATGTATTGTATAATACCCGTCGCGCAGTTCACCCCACTGAAGATGATCACGGCATTAGTCATAACAGTACCGTGATAACCATCAGAGGCGCCCTAGGGCTGTTACATTTGGCGCCCCTATTCACAGGTGGTCATCAGGGAGAGGGGAGGGGCTTTAAAAAAACTTCTAAAACCTCCCAAACATCGAAACTATTTAAAGTGTTATTATTACCGGGTCACTTTACATTGGATTATTTATATAATAATTAATAAATGAACAAGTAAAATAACTCAATCAATAAAAATTAATAAACAATGAGTAAGAATAAATGTATAAAAACATGAATAACAACAAAATATACTTTATAATGGTAATGAATAATGATTTATAACTTTATGTTTATGTAAATGTTTTTTTTCTAGCTTTAAGTTTTGAGAATTTTTTAACAAGACTTGACCAGTCGATATTCTTTACAATTTAATTTTCAATACATAATATTGATAATGCTGATGTTTTCTCATTTGATAATGATGACTGTAAATAGTTTTTGACTCTCTTCAAAACAGAAAAGGGCCTTTCTCCACTTGCATTAGAACATCGCATACAAATAAATAATTTTAAAGCGATTTCAACATTAGGAAAAGTTGTATTTAATGATGGATTATTATTAAGGTATTTTAGTTATTCCTTGCATGTTTTTAGTTTCGATGGGAAAATTTGTTATATATTTTTTAAATTGAACGATTTCTTCAACAAATTCTTACTACTAAATCATTAACATAATACTCCACAAGCTTAAGTGATTTTTTACGTAGTTCACTTAGTTCAATATTTTCAATATCAGAAAAAATCCAAATTTGTCACATAGCTTTATATATTATGCTTCTTTTCTTTTATTTAGTTGTAAAATCAATGCATCCATTATAGGAATAACATTTTCATTCTGAATTAGAAAATATAACTTCACCGTTAGGCTCTTCGTCAAAAAATATATTTCTGCGTATAGTTCTAGTTTCCTCAAAAGAAAATTTATTCATGCCACTTATTTCTATCGCTTCATTTAAAAATATTTCAAAATTGTTTCATTGCTCTTGTACATAACATACGAGTACTAATGAATCATATAGAGATACTACACATGACAAATCAATGTAAATTAACTTAAGACTTTTAGAAGTTTTGTCAAATCTTTCTAAAAGAGGCGTCCAAAAAATTAAAAGAAAGACGAAATCTTATGATTTTATTTTATTGTGTAAATTGATTTGGCTTCATGTACCTAACTGCATTTCGTTGATTTGAATCATTATATAACATATCTAAAGCAGTAAGAACTCCAATTTATCCATTTTTAATTGATTTACAAATTGAGTGCCGCGATGACCAACGAGTAGGGCATAAGTTTTTTAGAAGTTGAGCATTAGGAATTTTGCCTAACTCTTTTGATAAAGTACTCCACCTTGAGGTAGACGCAGAAAAAAAGCATATAGGTTTTGAGCTCTCGGAAAAAATGAAAAAATGTATTTCCCATGCTGGTTAGTTCAGCAGCAAATGTTCCGACTAAATTTAAAGAATGGGTTGAGCATGGTACACATTCTGCTGTACTTGATGTTTGCTTAACCCGTGCTTGTAAGCCATTATAAGTATCCGACATATTATTAGCATTATCAAATGACTGACCTTTGCAATTTATCATATCAATGTATAAGTTTTCAAACATTTTCAATAGTTCTAATTCCATTTCTTGTGCTTTGTGACCAACTGAAGGAAAAAACCCTATAAATCTCTCTACAGGTAAACCATCTTTGCAAATGTATCGTACTGCCACAGTTAATGGGTCTATCTTTGTGACATCTGCTGTTGAGTCTACAATTATTGAAAAGTAATATACAATATGTACAATACATTGTAACACAGTTTTACTCATAAGRTCAATAAATTCATCACATATTCTACTTAATAAATAAGATACATTCCCACAACCTTTATTAAAGTGTTTATCAATGTGATTAGCGAGAAATGGATCAAACTTTAATAGGAGTTCGAGACAGCCTATATAATTTCCATTAAATTTGGAAACAATTGTTTCATTGTCTCCTCTAAATGCCAGATCTCTTGTAGCTAAAAATGATATTGTTTCAATTAATCGATGAAGTAATTTTGTCCAATACTTTTCTTCTTTATTAATTTCTATTTTGAGAGAATTGTTATACAATATTGGTTAGGTTAAATTCAACCTATATGCGGATGATTTCAACTTCTGGTGGAGAAGTACTTGTATAAACACAATACAAAGCATGCTACAATCAGTAGCGAATAATTTAGAAAACTGGTCAAAAAATACAGGGTTTCATTTCCCTCCAGAAAGATCCAGCTGCGCCTTGTTCACAAAAAAATAAGGAATGCTGTTGCTCTGAAAATAATCATTGACAGTATTGAATTCGTACACAAAAACGCCGTAAAAATGCTTGTAGTCATTTTCGACAGACGATCATCATGGGCTCCTTACATAAAACATTTTAAATTATCCTCTAGTAACTCAATCAACATTTTGAAAATTCTTTCTCACACTAATTTCTAATTACGATTCACAAATCATTAATACAGTCCAAACTAAAATACGGCTTATCACTTTACAGATCTGCATCCAAATCCCTACTTAAATGGCTTGACAGCGTTAATAACTGTGGTCTGAGACTGGCACTAGGTGTCTTTCGGAATAGCCCAAGTATACAATATTTATAATATCTCTGGTGAAACCATTCCTGAAATAAAAAGGTCAGAGTTACATCTCAAATGCGCAGCAAGATCCGCTAAATTAAATAACACCATTCATGAAATAAACAATCGCTTCTTTATAGAAGAGTTAAAAGATATCAACCTTGATTTATCGCAAATCATAATTAAAGAAAAAAACATTCAACCTCCTTGGGCTTGGTCATGCCCAATTAACATTTAACATGGCTATCTTTGTAAGCATCTAACCCCTCCCATTATTTTCAAAAACTTCTTTAAAAGCATACTTGATAACTACAAAGGCTTCCAGGGAGTATACACTGATGGATCAAAATCTCAGGGTGTCGAATTTTGATAATTTTTCTCAAATATGAATATATTACGTGAATTACCCAATATTTACTCCATATTCATAGCCGAAGCATTAGCTATCTTCTCGGCAATCGAGATTATAATGGTATATTTCCCGATGTATGGAAAATTTCTTCAATTACCCCCATTCTCAAATCTGGTGACCCCTCTTTAGTCAGTAATTATCGACCAATCTCAATCTTACCGCATCTAGCTAAACTATTCGAATTTGTCGTTTATTGTAATATTAAAAGGTGTTTAATCATATTTTAATTGATGAGCAACATGGATTCCGCCCGGGAAAATCTACCATCACTAGCAGTGTTATTTTTACGACGTTCATTGCCGAATGCCTCGAATATGGTCATCAAGTCGATACTATAACAACGAATTTTAAGAAGTCTTTTGACACTGTCAGTCACAATATATTAATAAACGAACTTGAAAGCATGGGAGTTGGTAACCCACTATTATCTTGGCTTAAATCGTACATAACTGGAAGAAACCGATTCGTATCGATACTGGGCTCCTTTTCAAAAACCTTTGAAACAACTTCTAGCGTTCCCCAGGGTTTTCACCTAAGCCCACTACTATTTTCACTTTTTGTTAACTCTAGCTCCATACGGCTTGACCAAGTAAAATTTTCGTTGTATGCGGATGATATAAAGATATTTCATAAAATTAGATCCCCTTCAGATTCCACCCTACTTCAGAGTGAATTAGACATTTTTACAGAATGGGCCTCTCATTTAGGTTTAACCCTAAACCTTTCTAAGTGTAACGTTATTTCCTTCTCCAGATCTTTAAATCCAATTTTAACCACATACTTTCTTAACGGCATGGAACTTGAACGAGTTTCCTCCATTAAGGACCTTGGTATAATTTACTCGCCTATCTATGTTTTAGCACTCACATAAATTCGATGGTTAATAGAGCACTTAATGTCCTCGGGTTCATCATACGTAATACTAAATTATTTAAGTCGATTGGATGCCTTTGTACTTTATACTATACCCTTGTCCGCTCTCTTCTTGAGTTTGGATCTGTGGTCTGGAAACCGTATTTAGTCAAAGACCAGCTACGACTAGAACGCGTCCAAAATAAACTCCTTAACTTTATTGCCTTCGAAATGAACATTTATCACGAAAATCATGATTATTCCAACATAAGGCAAGTTTTGAACATCTCAATTCTTACCTCTCGTAGTGCAAAAGCAGACTTAGACTTTCTAAACTCAATTCTAAGTGGTTCTTTGGATGTTCCTGATCTCCTTGCAGCCATACCATACAGAGTTCCTTCTCATTCTTCCAGAAACCAATCACAATTTTATGTCCCAACCCACAAGACCTCTTATGGGCACAACCACACTCTACACCGCATGCTCAGAGCTGCAAACAACCAATAATCCTTAGGCCACTAATTATACTTCTACCTTATAATTATACTATTTATCTATATTATAACATGTATACATATATATAAATAAATATAAACGTTAATTTACCTTTTTTTTGATTTTACTGGTATGGTTTCAAGTTCCAATTATCTAACAAGCAAAAAGGACAACATATTATTAACATAATATAAATTCAAGACTAAAAAATTGAATATTTTTTTATTTTGTTTTATTTTTTATCCAAAACCAATAATTCAAAACACAGACTAGAGTGAATAGTGATGAGATTTCGTTTAAATAGTAGCTAGTGTATGACATTACATAATCATATAATTATTATGTAGATAGAGCACGAGAGCAGTGCATCGTGATTATAATTAAGTTATTAACTCAATTATATTTATTATTGGACATTCAATAATAATTTAATATTATGGCGGGATATGGGCATATTTTAATATTGTAATTCCAATTAACAATTACCGAGAGCGTTATTAGTAGTTCACTTTTTCGAATGTTAGATAAGAACTCTTGTACACCGCAGTCTAACATTAACGCATTATAGCATTTATAGCCAAATGTGCAACCATTCTATCAAAGCCGTGGTATGGAGTGATGTCGAGGGGATTATACGCGGATATGAGACGAGTGACATTAATGGTCCAATTAGGTATTTAAAATTTGAAATTATGACAATAAGTTATTGTAGTGAGTAGGTATAATGATTATCATCACTATTATATCTTGAGTTTAAACGATATCGAATTTATTACTTTTGACTTCTGGTCTTTATACTTGATAAGTATTATTATGACCAGTGCTGTGATCACCTTCAATGGGGCGAACTTCGTGACACCCAGTCAAATGGGTATTATACAATACATTCATTATATTATATTACACTTATTATACAATACAATACAATTACACAAATTAAGCTTACTGTACGTAGTCTGTACTACTTGAATTGATTTGAAAAATGTAATATCTTTTACCTGGGGCATAAAATTCCTGATAACTGCAGTATATACGTGACGAGGTATAACACATTTACACACAATAACCGAGTATTGGCTGAGTAAAATTTATAGTACTAACCGGGTATAGAGTATTAAATATGAAGTACCTATTGAATAATTAAAATAAACAAGTAACACTAGAACAGTAGAAAAATAATTCATGAGTGCGTCGCGAGAATGTAGACGAACAGACTACAGAGTTGTAGACTGAAAAAGTGACAAAAGTAAAGTGATGGCTGATTATTTACAACTGAGAATATTTGTATAGGAATAATTTAGGTATATCTTATAATAGGTTTTGATTGCAGATTGTTATCATATATTTTATTATATAATATAAACACGAGATTTATTTTTGTAATTTGTAGAAGAAAGACATGATTAGTTTACAACAAAGTGGCTATTGCAAATTGGTTCAGATATTCCAATATGTACCAAAATAAATTATAAATTATTACCCTAGAGTTTTAGATTTTTCCCGTTATATTAATTATAGGTATGCATATATTTATGTATAGATTATCAGCGTTTGCCAGTTACCCGATATGAGTCCAGTAAAAATGTAGTATTTTGCCGGGTACCGAGTAAAGGCCGAGTAAAAATGTAGGTATTGCGCCGGGAACCAAGTAAGATACGAGTCTTAAAAAATAATATGATATCGAGTACTCGGCCATTGAGTAAATGCCGGTTATCCAGAACATCTCTAATAACTACCTTCCACAACCACCTAAGTTTGAGGAGAAATATCTCATTAACGGATTAACGAAAAATGAAAATTTAATCGTGATAATTAATAAAAAAAATAGCTTTATTAATTTATGAAATTTCAAGTATAGGTTGCCGTTTTAAAATCAAAATTTGATGGTGGTTTACCTAATAAAAATAAGGGTGAAAAATATAAAAAAATATACAATTAAAGATGAGTGTAAATCTACAATCTTGAAAAATTAACATTTAAAAAAAAATCAAAACTTTTGAAATAATAAGTGTTTTTTTTATAAAAGAATCACTCTGTATACTTATTACTTGTACTGATTCATTACTTTTATTATAATACCTATATTTTATTTACATATGACATGAATCTTTCTGTACCTACAAACTATTATTTTTATTAGATAAATAAATGAATTACGACTGTTTAGTTTTTTTAATCGATGAATAGTAACAACACTAACAACTTTAATTGTTCATATTCAAAATTTGGTTTGTGTAAAAATAGTTAAGATATAGTTAATACTATGTTTGTATTTCTTTACCGTAAATATTGTCAATCCAAAACATCTCAACGATTTTCTTGGCTATGCATTTAATTATATATTTAACAAATATATATTATATTTGTATGAGGTTTTTAGATTTTATCTAAACTTATAACTTTTTAGTTACATCCTTGGAACCTCTCTCACAATCATGAATTAATAATGTATTAATATCTATGAATACCTATATAATTATTTATAAATAGATAGTACCTAATATTAAATAGTTATTAAATAAGCTACTAACGGCTTTATAAATTACAATATATTTTGATATATTGATTTCACTATATGGTATCAGAAGTTCTAAATTGTATTATTTTGAAATTATTTTGTTTCAGAAATAGATAAAACTCAAATTTATAATGAATATCACTTCTACAAATAATGTAAGTATAAATAGAATTAAAATTTGAATAATCGTATCTTATTTATAAATATTTACAATTAATCATATACAGATTTTAATTACATTCGTATCTACTCAGTATTTCAGTTATAATATGATTTCAAAAACATCAGGCATATTTTTGTTTAACTTTGTGTATGTATACAGATTATCACTGATTCAATTCCTAAAAATATGATTTATCTTCACACATTTTGATTGTTTGTTTAAAATTAATTTTGTCATTTTAGTATTTAACTGAATGTTTTTACAAATTATAACTCCATGGGTATTTATTTATTTATGAATTTATTTTTAATCTATATTTTGTATAATCTAATTGATCGAAATTGTGGCCTATGTTATTTAAAATGCATAATTTTGACAAAATTATAACCCACATAATTGTTTTTGCATAGTTTACTTTTAAAACAAAACTTCAATTTCAGGTAGGTATCTTGGTTTATATTAAACAATATAAATTTTAATGAATAAGGTATTTTTAAATCGATAAATTACTGATTAGTAATATCATAATGATCACATAAAGGTCGTGATACTGCAGATATTAGGAAAAACTGCAGTGTTTTAATTTTATGTTCTGTYGTTTAATGTATAGAAAATAATGTTGATAATAAGTTGGATATACGAATAGAGTACAGATACTTTTTATATCATATAAATATTTCAATTAATCACAATAATCACATGATAATATCTTTATTTCTAAAACAATATGTTTATATTCATTCTTATGTACTAATAAATGTTTTTGGGAAATACCTATATAGACTTGTCTGCCCGAAAAAGTAGTAAATCCTGGTTGGTGTCCTAGCCACTGGGATCTATTGCTATGTTGGAGAACTTCAAAACCTGGTACTGTAGTTTACCAGGCTTGCTTTGATGAACTGAACGGAATGCGTTATGATACATCACGTAAGTAACTTTATTCAGACTTATCTTATTAAATATACAAGTTCAAGTCAAGTTGAATGAATAATTATTAGAGAGAATCTGTATTCACTGTATAATGTAATACCATTTTATTATTTTGTTTTATTTATATGTTAATGAAATTTTTCATTTTAATGCATAAAAATATTTAATAATAGTTTCTTTTTATTCCCTTAATTTATTTTTAAATGAAATTTTTTAGTAATCCCATTATTTGACTGTAATATTGTTATAATAATAAATTAACTATACGTTTAAAAAAACTGTGACTATAAATGTCTTTTATTTTTCAACTGTTATTGTAACAATATGTTGTTATTGTATTAAATAAGTAAGTAGTATTAAATTAGTCTTGTATTAAATTTTCAAGATTTTCTACCCCAAAAAAAAAATTTTTATCGATTTTAATTTAAAAAAAACTAATTATGATCGAAAATTGCATATACCTATGAATAGTTCAACTTAAGYCRAMAATTTTTGAAAATTKCATGGTGGATAGAATATACTTATATAAACATTCGGTGAAAATTTCATGTAYCAATGGTCATTTGTTTTAAAGTTACATCAAAAATCAAAATCGATTTTGTTGAAAACTGATTGTGCGTAAAATTTCCCGTTTTTCCATTAATTTTTAGTTTGTTTATCCCGATTATTTAGAAAAATTATTTTGACCAACTAGATTCACTTTCTGATCGAATAAAGTACTGAAGTCAAAAATCGAAGCACTTTTACTGCCCCAAAACGTGATGACAGACACAAAAAAAATCCATGGTTTTGACAAATTTTTGTCAATATTTGAACTTATTCAAATGCTAATAAAAAAAAATTGTACCTATGTATTTTTATAATTTTTTAATCACTATAAGAATAACTTATGAGGAACTTTATATTAAATTTTCAAGTTTTTGATAGGGCCAAAAAAATTTTATCCACACTTCAAAAAAATTTTTTCAGAAAAATTTAAAATTTCAGTTGTCTATAAATATCTAAAAAAAGTCAAAATATTTCGAAAATTAAATCATGTAAAGAAAATGCCAATCTAAATAACTGGTGAAATTTTCAAGTATCTACGACTTATACTTTTTGAAGWATAACAAATATTTAAAATCGTTTGAGGATAAATCGTTACCGTTACGCTATTTCGTAAAAATTTAAAATTTAAATGCACTTAAAATTGTTCCTATAATGATGTTTCAAGTTTTCTCTATAACTTCTTGAAGAAAAACTAATGGAAAACTTGGTGTTGTATTTTTAATCCTTAGTTATAAACGCAAAAAATTTTATGATTTTTCAACTTCAAAATTACTTGCAAATTTTCGCGTTTTCGACAGATTTCGTAAAATTTTGAACTATAAACGCTTATTTAAAAAAATCGTGACTTACGATTTTTAATTTTTTTTAGCTACAATAAGAACAACTCATAAGGAACCTTGTATTAAATTTTCAAGTTTTTTTGGTCGTCCAACATTTTTTTACCGGCACTTTAGAAAACAAATTCTCAAAAACATTGAAAATTTCAGCGGTCTATAAATAACTCAAAAATTTTTTTGAAAATTAAACTGTATATAGATATCACTAACATAMACATTTGGTGWAAATTTCAAGTATTTATAGTGATTAGTTTTTGAATTACAACCATATAAAAAAATCGATTTGGTTGAAAACTGGTTTTGCGTAAAAATTCCCGTTTTTCTGTCATTTTTTTTGTTGTTTTTCTCGATTTTTTTGCAAACTGTTGTAAAATGTTTACTTTTGACCTGTGTAATGCACCAAGGATATTCACTTTTACATCGGAAACCACCCCCAAAGTTTGAAATTGAAGCATTATTTTGACTAGTTATGATGTACACAGACACAAAAAAAACACACATCATTGTAAAATCAATACATTCATCACTTCGTTCAGAAACTAAAATTGTGTTAAATTTTAAAACACTTTTATTATTTATCTTTATATGACCAACATCATGCAGGTACTTTTGAATTATCCTGATAAATATATATTATTTTATCTAAACTTTTTTTGTTTTGCCAATTTGGCGTCATCGAAGTCAAAATATGGGTGTTTGTGTATAATACAATTGACACAGCGGTACTTCTAAGTTAACGTTCCCGTGTACCGTGTCTATACCCAGTAATAATAAGTTTTAAAAATTAATTATGTATTGGATTTAATTCCTGTAAATGTTTAGGATGAATGTAATATTTTTTCCTTATGAATACATTGCATTTCAAAAATTTAACGTATTTATATTATATTTGTTACTAATAAACATATTTTAAATGAATGTGTTCGTATTCTAGTTAATAGAACGCTAGGTAGTACATTTCCCGTGTGTTTATTATCCCTGTCTGACAATAAACGCATGTCATGGACAAATTTCGTTCATTTTTTCTAATAATTAAATTACAATTAGATATACTCCATCAAAACTAGTGAATGAAGATTGTTTTTGTATACACTATTTATATTATAGTAGGTACTATTATACATTTGTAGTAATTAACGCAAGTTTTTTGATTATAAATATATATTTATTTGTTTGATTTATTATGTGTTAGACTGTATGTATTACTAATTTGATAGGACATTTAAAATATGTGTCAAATAAATTATTTTGATTAGTCGCTTACGTAAATATAATGTATGGAGTTTGGTAAAATACTTTCCATAATCATTGTTTCATTATTTATAAAGATTAAAATTAACATCCTCTAAGTATTACTGTAGTGAAAATAGAGTTCATTCAGATATGTGAGAAATAATGACAGGAACTTTTAAGAGATATTTTTAATCTATGTTGTCCTAATATTACAACAATACCTATATTGGCTATATTATAATATATGTAGGAATTATTATTTATGCGTTTTGAAAAATAATTTTTCATGATTTATATAATAGCTGATAACATTTGTTTAGTTTTAAATTTAATATTCAAAGGACTTTGAATAATATTTTATAGCTAAAATAAGACCATTAGATAACCTGTATTTGTTTTAAAAAGGTGATAAGCAAGTTGTAAGTTAAGATTCTTTTGAACTTGAGTGGTTGAAATGTAGATTGTTCATAACATTAACACAAATAATAATATAAATGTCTTATTTAAGGATTCTTGGATAGTGAACTTAGATTGTATTGTATGTTGCCTGTTGCAATGCAACATAGTTGTTGCGGAATCGTAATAATAATATTATTGTTGCATCATATTATTAGTTATTCAATAATCATACAAATATGCAACAAAATTGTTAATATTAACTTCAAATATGCTGAAGTTTTGTATAATAACATATAAAAAAAATGTACCTATATTAAAATGGCAAAATATAAAACAATAAGGAATTAGTAACAATTATATATCATTTGTGTTATTATAATATAATATATAAAATAAATAATATTAAAATAATTTACTTTCTAACAAAATATAACTATTTAAAATTTTATAATGTAGGCTTTCACATATGTTGTAGTTTTGACTACTTATTCATTTATTTACAGTTATAGTTTCTTATTAGGTAGGTACCTACCTACCTATGTTATTATCAGAAATAAATATAAACTATAATTATTATTAAGTCTAAAATTATATTACTTCGAGTTATTAAAAATAAAAGTAATAGAAATTGTTATATAAATTTCAGTGTAATAAGAATGAAATTGTTTTTATTTAGACTATTAGACTATTTACTTTATAGACTTTGGTATTCAGTGACCTCATTACATATATTTTATTACTGTTATAGTGTTCGAGGTAGTGTACTCCCTGTGTATTATTAATAAAAATTGCATTGATTAGAGTTCTGGGTATTTAAATATTTTGGTCATATATTAAAAGTTGGCCCAAATTTTACCATTGAGTTGAACTCGCTAACTCACGGAGCCTATCCGTGGACCTTTGCGGGAGAAATTCCTGAAAATAAGTTTTAAGCTAACTGAATAAATAATTGATTACAAGTTTGACTATTGAATATTTTGATTGATATTTAAATGGAGTTCACATTGAAGTGTTTGTAAGAAATTTTAGAAATTTAATTTGTTAAATAGATTTTGAGGTCCAATTTTAATTTATTTGAGACAAACTAGGATAGTCAGATAATTAAATAAAGGTATATATTCTGGAAGAATTGAAAGTTATTCTGTTAGAGTTATCCTAGTAGGATCATGAATGTCAATATCATTAGATATGTAATATGTAAATACTGGTAATGAGAGCGTCTTAGTTCAATAAGTTTAAGAGATTATGGTAAGTTTGAATTTTGGATTAGCGTTAATAACGGAAGTCTATGGTGTTGTTTATCACACTTATTTTTAAGAGGACGCTACACCTGCATGTGTTGTCTCCGTCTTACAAACATACAATATAGCAAAAATTGTTTTATATGGGACAAATTTAGGTAATCTCTCTGTATTTATTGCTAAAATATCAAAATTTCAAAACGTATAGGGAAGAATTTTTATACGTTGTACGTTTGTAAGATGGAGACAACACATTTGGGTGTGGCGTTCTCTTAAAATGAGGCAACTAGGTAGGTAGTTTGTTAATTTCTGTGTTCTGTCTAGTATTAGGCCGCATATTTAAAATCACAGATGAGTCATAAGAAGGATAATAGTGTTTTTAATTGCTTGCTGTGTTGTCCTAGTGTGAAAGTGACAAATGAAAGACTTAGATTCGTTAATCTTTGTTTTATAGACCACCGAGGAGGAGTTGCTTGAGAGATTTCAGTTATAAAATTGAGGTGAAATTATCTGTATATGTTAGTTGAATCATACGCCTAAGTTAAATGATTGCATTTTTTTTCTGGTGTGAGTAGTCTGAAATGTAGAAAATATATAAGATYGATGCAAAATCTTTGCCTAGGAACGTAAGCAGAAATAGATAATTGTTGAAGATTGGTGAAGCAAAAAGAGTGATGGTTGTTAAAATATTATTTTTAAATTAGATAGTAGTCTTTCGTTATAATATTATTAACTACACAGAAAAAAAATACGGCAGAAATTATTTTTGTGCCGGCTGAATTATCGTCTGCCGTCTTACACGATGACATAATCTTACGTACTCGCCACCCAGGTAACAAATATTATCATACCATTAATGTTTGTGCAAATATTATTAGTACCTATCTAAGAATGGCATTAATACCTTGTTAGTTTTGGCTTATAATACCAAAATAGTTTAAAACTTAATACAAATATTTTCATTGTATGTTCGCTAAATAATTGTACGAATACAAAAAAAAGCGGGTAAGTCGTGGATATCGCTCTGCAGTACAGTAGGTTACAAGTGGGTTACTGTAAAGAATGGATAGAATTAAATTTGAATCCAATGATATTATATTATAATTGTATACGAAAAACGATTCTGAGCGGAGACGGTTTATCTGTCTAGAATATATTATAAATTATTATTAATTATTATTAATACAGTAGTCGGTAAGTTGAATTAATATTATATGCACGTTATCCTGAAATTATCAGCGATAATGATAAAAAATAAATATTACATGTATACTTTTGTGATTTTTACGTATGCTGTCAAAATTCAAACTTTGAACGCTTGTAAAAAACAATTGTGACTGTTTATTTCTTATATTTTTCAATTACTATTGTAAAAATATGTTATAGGAGCCTTGTATTAAATCTTCAATCTTTTCTACCCAACGAATAAATTTTTATCGATATTTATTTAAAAAAAATTAATAACGATCGAAAATTGCTTGGTGGATAGAATATACTTATATAAACATTCAGTGAAAATGTCATGTATCTATGGTCATTTGTTTTAAAGTTACATCAAAAACCAAAATCGATTTTGTCGAAAACTGATTGTGCGTAAAATTTCCCGTTATTTCCTTAATTTTTAGATTGTTTATTCCGATTATTTAGAAAAATACTGAAAATTTTTTACTTTTGACCCCACAAAGTACCAACTAGATTCACTTTATGATCGAACGAGGTACTGAAATCGAAAATCGAAGCACTTTTACTGCCCTAAAACAGACACGAAAAAAAATGACATCATGGTAAAATCAACACATTCCCCGCTCCACTCAGAATCTAAAAAAGGTTAAATTCATTTATGCCAAAAACATTACATTTAAAATGTTATTGTGTGTATGAAATATAATAATTACGAATTTCAAATAGTTTTCCACTGATACCTAATATTTTTAATACTAATTTAAACAAAATAAATAAAATCGTTATTATTTACCTATTTCAATATTATCTAATCTAGTCTAAATTTGAACTAAGAATATCTATGAAAAAAATATGTTCTCATTTATTTTTTCCCTAATTACCTACATATAAGCGTAGTTGCAACTAGATTAATATTTTTGGGGGTGCATACATTTTAAAGAATTTACAGATCTACAAATTGTTCCCACTGTGTATTGATATATTTACATATATATTTTATGTAGGTTTATGTATATTTTTATAGATGGAGTAGATACACAATTGTCTATAGAAACAATTAGCTTGGTCATAAATAGCTCTTAAGTTATAATCAATGTGTAGAGTATGGTTTGGCATAGTAAGGTTTAGTAAGTGGCATTTACTATTTTTTTAAGGTACTATTTTGAAAAGCTTTTATCTTATTTAGTTAGATAAGACTTTTTACTAAGCTGGAGTCCGTAAAAAATCTTATTTGTGTTATCTTATTTTGAATATATTATTATTTTCTCTTTACAAAAGGATGCCTATAATACGAAACTCGTATTTTAATTATTTTATGATTTATTGGTTTACGTAAGTAAGAATATTGTATTATCTAATATTATTTTTTTTTTCACAGAAAATGCTAGTCGTCGTTGCCAATCGAATGGTGTTTGGGAAAATTTTTCTGATTATATGAGTTGCCAACCTTTAGATACAAACAATTCATTGTATCCAGATCCATCAATTGTATACACATCATACTTTTATTATGGTGGTTATACCATATCATTAGTGGCATTGGTGGCAGCTGTATCTATATTTGTATACTTCAAGTAAGCCTGTGTATATATATGCAGAATAATATTATTTGCTTTGATAATTATGTGAAATTGCTTCATTTGAATAATTAAAGCAAAATGCATTGAAATTTGAAATATAAATAGAAAGTACATAAAACTAAATACGGGAATAATATGAAATAATGTCGTGGCTTTAATAATCATGAAACGAGTCAATATTTTAAATTTAGTACTATATAGTACCTATATACCGTCTATATATTTTAATTCATCGAGGGTTAACTCACTTCAGTAAAACACAGTGGTAAAAATTATATGCCACTTATGGTAGGTACATTTTAAAAATTGCATTATCATAATGTCAGATACATTGAGGTTCTAATAAACTACCTTTTTATTTTTCTTACTGCTCCAAAAGTTGTTGTTAAAAAAAAAAGACGTAACAAAATTAATGACATTGGATACAATAAAATGGTCTAAATCTTAAATATTTATTGTCTAGGTGACTAGATATTTATTAAAGTAGAGTGTCTCAAATTTGTCCATTAATTTAGATCCTGAGCGGTGTAAGTAATGTATTGGTTTTACAATAAATCGTTATTTTTTTTATACTACAAACGTTTTATATCATTTTCCACACTAAAACATTTAAGACATGAACATTCTAGATTGAAAGGTGAATTAAATACGTAAGTTTTTTTTAAAACTTTTTTAATTAAAATGTTTGAGGTGCATTTTTGTGAATAGTTAATAATAATTAAATTAAAAATCAATTAATCTAGTTTTAAGATAATTCTTGACAATTCTTAGGTCATTCGAGACCCGCACTAAATCGATATTCGGATGCAATGATTTATCATTGTTTTTAAAGATTTTCGCCCTAATAGTCCATCTACATCACATCATTGAAAAAGGCCTGCCACTGTAGGGTTGTGGTTATTTTTTATCGTTCACCAAATTTTACTTTGGTTGTTATAATTGTTATCTATATGTTATATCTGTTTTAATACTTTATTGGTTATATTTATATTTATAATAGGTATACTAGCTGAATTAGTTGACCGTTAAAAATGCATTTTATAAAAAAAATTTAGTTTATTTTACTGGGCAGATGGCACCACCAGTTAATTCCTATTTTATCTCTCAATATTTCATGAACAGATATTAGGCCTATACAACACTATGCTTTAAACCTTCTTCACGATGTATTTTTTCATTAAAAAAAATAACCAAAGTGATTGGACGAATTTCAACGAAAACGACGTTTATCAGCCATTTAGGATTTGTTCGATTATAATATATACTATAAGTACCTACTTGATAGTTTAAATGTTTAATATACTTAGTAACTCACAGTATAATTGTCATGTATAAAATATAAAAAATACTTAAATGTTTTCAGAGATTTACGATGTTTGAGAAACACAATACACACAAATTTAATGTGCACTTATATACTATCTGATTTTACATGGATATTGACATCAACACTTCAGGTTTGTGAATAATTTACTAAACGAAATGTTCATCAGTTGTGTTTTTAATTTTTTTATAAAGTTATTTATAATTAATAATTTAACAACCAAAAAATGTTTAACTGGACCACATTTATAGTATAAATGTATAATAGCCATACAATACGCAGAAATGTGTACAATATTAAAAAATCAAACTTCAATTACTAATTTACTATAAATACTCTAAATCAATAAAAAAAGGTAATTGTAAAAATATTTATATGCGAAAAGTTGTTGTGTATAAAACAATTATATTGTTTTTATGTGTACCTATATCGTGTATACATAATTTTTTTACATTTTATATTTTAAATTTAAATATTTCGAATCCGTTTGTAAAATTTAATAATTAATCAAACAGTTGATTTCTTAGTTTATCCTACCTTAAACAAATAATTACACCTTTTATTATTTGAACAGATTCGCATCCGATCAAATATATAAATAATAAAAAATAATCTTTCAGTATGTTTTTTTTTTAAAATAAAAAGTTATTGTTTCAGGAATGGCTTTCTGCTAGTAATAACGCTTGTGTATTATTTACATTTTCGTTACACTACTTTGTTTTGACAAATTTTTTTTGGATGTTTGTTGAAGGTAATGACTACTTCAATTCTTTGATTACAAAAATTAATTGATTTATTAATATTTTTTTGTTTAAAAATTTGTTTAGGCTTGTATCTGTATATTTTGGTTGTAGAAACTTTCACCCGGGAAAATATCAAGCTCCGCGTTTACATGTTTATTGGCTGGGGTAAGTTTTATACGTATTTATACTTCATTCAAGTAAGAAACGTAGTCGGCRGTGACCGGTTTTTGTTATGTAAATATTTTATACGCTCAATATATATATAATTTAGAACTTTTATAATTTATACATTGTCTATTGTAAAATATTATTCATAGAATCACTTACAAATTTCAAAATATAATATTTATATTCACATTATTTATATTATGTCTCTGAATTAAAATGTTACTTTTATAGTGGAAATATTAATAATTACCTAATTATTAAGTACTAACCATCTAAGTATCATTTTTAATTAGGTAAGTTATATAAAACTAATATATTACGATTAACGGATCAAAGATTAAAATGGTGATGATAAGTAAATACCTAATGTTAATGTTAAGTAGGAGTTTTATAGTTTCAAAATAGTAAACTAAAAAAATAAAATTGTACATTAATACCACTCCTCTGGAAATAAAAATAAATTTTTACTAACATTTTCAAAATAACTTCCATTTCTGAACTTTATTTTGAATTTTAGGAACATATTTAATTTAAATATATGATATTGATTATGTGTTTATAATGAAGACCTATGTTCTATATAATATATATATTATATACATAGGCCATATGTGCATAGCCGCATAGGCATTAGGCACTTTATTTTTGAACATGTTTATGTTATTTTAAACTAACTGATAAATTTATGTTTTAAGAGTATATATTTCGAGAATTGGGATCATTCCGTATTTGAATATGAATCATGTGTTATGTTAAATTTACATTATGTATATGGATAAACTAATGAATGATAATTATAAGTCTTGATTTCGAAACGATGCTTTTTTTTAAAATAAAATATAAACCGTTTCAAAGACATTAAATATAAATCTTACATGTTATTTCATTTTTAAATTTATTTAATACAATATAATAATTGTACATATACCCTCAGAAACATAGGCCTTTGGGCTTAAAACAAAATAATTAATTACATATTAATTGTGTAGTTACTAAATCAAGTGTTAATTATATTTTTGTTTGGAGGTCTGCGGCTGTAATGAACTGCAGGATGATATTTRGTATGGATTGAGGGTGATTGCTTAATATTTCTGGTAGTGATTGGAAAGATTGTGTCTTATTCGGATATTGTGGTATGTTCGGCATTTGATGACTTGGACATCGTATGATGGGCATATTGGAGGTTCTTCTTTGGCCATTAGGGAGCTGTTAGAAATTTGAGTGTGGCTGGTTCTGAGTCTAGTTATTATGACCTCAAATTTTCTATAGATTTCGATAGGAAATATCCAATTGTCGGTATTTTGTTTAATACGATTTAATTTTATGTAGTCATTTTGTGTAGTGAGATACTTTGGGGTACTCCCGCATTGATTTTATTGTAAGGAGAGTAAGAAGATTAATTAATAATGCATATATTATAGTTTGAAAAAAAATGCATTTGTTATACTGGCCTTAGTTTCTTAGTTTTTATCTTCTTAAAGTTACTAAGGAATTGATAAAATCGAAGGTTACTCATTGTTAATAATAGTATTTACGTTGATTCAGTTTTAGTATAAACTCCAGAAGGTAAAATAAAATATTCGACATATTAATTATTAATTTTTAATTTATTACTAAACAAATATTTGCCTAAAAGTTTTTCATAATTTTACTTTGTTCAAAAAAGAAAGAAAAAGAAATTTCATGTGAAAGTATTTTATTTGAAAAATTGTCGGTTATTTCCATTTCTTCGTCTGTTATAATGGTTTTTGTTGCAGGGTAAATTGATTTTTAATTTTCTTTTATCCATAAACATTTATTCACAATCGTCCTCATCAACAGTTTATTTCAATGAAGTGAATTCAAACAATTTATGGAAAATAAAACATAATTCTAAGGAGGACAATTTCATTGAAAGCTTCTGTTGAATACTTGAATCCTACTGAAGTTAATTGATAATCATATAATCAATATAAGATTGTAATAAATTTACATTCTAAATTATTCATCACGATAGTAGTTCATTGAAATTATTTATGATTTAGCTTGAATAATGGTATTATTTGGGACCTGGGTCATCCAGTTCTAGAATTATTTTCTGAAAACAAAAATGAAATAATTTTGTTGCATATTTTTACTCAATTTAACTGTACATATCTTTAGGGATTTATGTCTTCTATTCAAAAGTTAGAACAAACATGTAATAAATCATCTTATTATAAAATTGTTGTTTTAATAATTATTCATAAAACTGTATAAATCGTAAATATATAATTGTCATCGTCAGATGTTTTCTATGATTTTATATTATGTTTGATAAGTTTTTTCTATTTCCGTTATAAATAAATTGTAATAAATATTATAAATTGGTATAATAATGTGATGGGAGTACCACGGGTTTTTCATGTAATTTTAAAAAGTAACTAAAACAATTTTGGTGCATTTAACATTTAGAGTTTAAAACAGATTTCCTCTCAGAATATTTAAGAAAGTTGATGAACGTATTGTATTTACCAGTTTAAAAAAAAAATTATTATAATAAGTATTTTTATAAAATCAGCTATATATACTGTTATAGCATTTATAGGAATTTCATAGGTTGGTTTGTTGTTTGAAAGTATCGAAACAACCTGGGTTTTTAAATAGGTATTGATATAGTATTGTAAAAGTTAATCCTTCATTTCATGAGCTCCTCATATTTCAATAAACTTCTGAATTCAACCACGATATGGAAATTTTGTAATGCATTTAAACGATGGCACTTAGTAGTTTGTATACGGTACACATCAGTTATTATTATTATTATTTATTTTTTCGTAAAAATCAAATTTATTTAGCGTATTATTTTATTCCAAAAGGAATAAAAGTTTTAATTTATGAATTAAAATTAGGAATATTTATGAGAAACAATATAAAATCTAATTTTTACATTTAAGTCGACAAATTTTAGTTCTTATTTTTGTATATTTTCAATGTTCAATAGTTCAATACACAGGTACATATTCATGGTTCGTGTATTACATTTTGAATATTATTGTTCATCATAATATTATTTTACATGAGTCAAAACTTTACTAGTTTAATAATACAAATTATGATTTATGAATGTCTTTAATATGCAATATACCGGATAGATTTTGGCTATTGTTTGAACTTTAAAAATACTAAATAAATTTAGAGACTTTAATATTTGAATAATTTTGTTATTATATTGAGTTGAAGTATTGATGTTTTTAAGGTAGCATGCATTATTTACCAACATTAAGGGATTTTGGTGGTCACATAAAATCATCTTGATTTTTGATAATAATTATTCATATTGAACATTATGGTGTATTATTGTATTAAATGCTCTTTTGTCACTTTTGGGTAAAAATTCTAAAGACATGAATAAATTACTCTTGGAAAGTTTAAATAAACGTCATAGTTTATAGATTTTTAAAATATTTAATGGTTATAATATTTTATAAACAATAAAAATTTTAAATATTTCATTACAAAAAATAAAAAAAAAATAAAAAAATACCAATTAGTAAATGATACTTTTATCTTCAAATCTAATCAATTAAAATTAAGTTTTTAAGAGTAAATACAATTTATATTATATTACGAGTATTTGATAATTTTTAATTCTTGATAAACAAATAATCTATATTTTTACTGTGTGATGTATATTTTTATTTATAGTTTCCTTAGAAAAAGTTTTCATTTAGTTTAATATGATGTGTAAAATCATTTTACTTGATCAATATATTCCAAATAAGAGATTAAATTTACAATTTATATTCTACTTGACAAGATTTCAGGTTTTTGTGTAGTTAGATTAGGCACGTCACGTTTGAAAAAAATGTGAAATTATGAAAAACCTTAAAATTACAGTGACAAAGCTTTTTTTAATAAACTGATTTATTAATGTATACCTAATATAGTCATACAGGACACAGGTATTATATAGGTATTGATATTCTACATAATTTGAAATTTAACTTCAAAAAAATTTATTAGGTATTTTATTTTTATGTAATACAAGTGACGGAAGTTGTAAAGATTTGAATTAGAAATCTATTTAAAAARAATACTACAATCATGTTTACTATATACCTAGCTTTATTATTTTGTGTTGATTCATAAGCAAAAATGTTTATTTAGTTTTAATGTACTATGTACCAAATGGCTATACCTTATTAAATTATTTTATAATAATATGTATACATCATACATCAATATATTTTTCTTTCCTAATATTAGTAGAATGTTAGTTCTATGTTACGCTTAATTTCAAACCAGTTTAAAGTTAGATGATATACATTTGTGTATGCAAAACAAATATCTATATTTATAAATTTATATTTTAATATTTAAAAAATTCTATGACTGTTTAAATGTTAATATTATGATACTGTGGTTTGTGACCGATATCAATTATTATGTTACAGGATTCCCACTGATAATTATGATTGTTTGGGGTGTTTCTAAGTTCATCACACCAATACCAGTTGGAATCGAGGTAAGCTCAATGTTTTAATAATTTGCAAATTCATCTAAATATTATAAGAATAAAAAAAATATGTTTTTGCTCTCTCAAAGTTCAAGTGTTTAGCAATTCAGTTTTAAAAATATCATTGATAAACTAATTTTTTATTTTTCGTAATTTTTAATCATTGGGATGGTAATACAAAACCTTATAAAACTATATTTTCAACGATTGAAAATAATTATGTAACTATTATGTTTTCGTTTGGTCAAATAACGTACCTACTAAGCTAATAGTACTTATTAAAATTCATCAAAACAATTTTTTTTACTATTTTACTGTAAAGTCATATAGATCGTATATTTAAAAATAATAATGACTTAATGTATTTATAAAAAAATAATATTAATATGTCAGTAAATAATAACCAATCTAAAAGCCAAATGCTTTTTCTAATAAAAAATGTATATCTTGTACCTATATATTAGGTATTATGTTTACTTACTCTGCATTGTGTAATTGTTTTATATTGAAATAATTGTTTTGCATATACATACGACTATATTAGTTAACAATAATTGAATATTTGTATGGTRTTATTAATGGATTATTAATTTATGATTTATGTGGAGTTTGCAAATAAAGATTATTGAATCTATTTTATTATTTATGAATATTTTTATGTTTATATAATAATATGAATAGTATAATGAAGTCATCACAGATAGAATGAAATAATTTTAAAAATAAATAAATCGAAATCATAAAAAAAAAAGGTGAAATGTAAGTAAGTATGTATAAAATGTGGATTTTTAAGTTAAAAACACATATTTCAAAATTATATAGTTTTAGGTGTGAATTTTAAAGGCATATCGTATCCAAAAACCTCTGTAGAATTTCGTATTACATTATACATTTTGTTGACTTATTAAAAGCAAAAATGTTTTCATATATAATTTTTAAAAAACTAATTATTTGAATTGTTTATAAGTAGTATAAAATAAGAAATAATATTTTAAGTCTTATCGCGTTTATAGAAAGCTTATATAAATATTATATACAAGGCCCAGTTAATCGGTTTTTACTAATTAAAAAATCGATTTCGTCAAAAACTGGTTTTGAAAAAATAATAATTTTTTTCCTGCAAATTGATTTGAAAAGTACTAAAGAATAATAGAGATTACTTTAAATGACTATTTATCATATCCAATTTTTTACTAGAAACCACTTTAAATGTTCAAAGTATTATATTTATTGCAGCTCTAAAAGGTCATAATATCACACTATGAAACGTATATATTCATTGATCCACTCAGAAACTAAAATAAATAACTTTTAGTTATATAATAATGTATGAAATATCCATAAACATTAAATATAGAGGATGACACAAAATCTACGCTTAGAATAGTTTTTCATAGGTATTCAATGAATTCACATTTAACAGATTCATTACAGTGACTAATTCAATTATGAGATACAAACTTATTATACAGCAGATTGACTTCTTCTCCTTTTACTGCCTGAGTTTTTGTCACCTTCAGAGCATTGATTTAGATACCTAATCAAATAGAATTGTTTTAATAGGTTTGTATCAATTCAATTAAAACTTCCATCTTATTTTTATTCAATTAACTTCAAGATTTTTTGAACTATCGACTTTTTGGATAGATTTTTATTAGAATAAAGTGATCTTTTGATGGTTAAACTCATATTAGTTAGAAGAGCAAAAGTAAATAGCTGATTGGACTACAAATTCAAGTGCGCCCCATACTAATAAAAACAGCTTGATGGAATTTATAGAAACTAAGAAAATCTATTTTTCAGCTTTWTTTTTTTGATAAATTTATCAAAAACCGAAACGAATCATTGACCATCGTTTAAGATACCTACTTTAATCGTGTTTAACCTCTTGTAATACATGTTTATTTAAAACTGATTAAATTCGTAGTGAATTTTATTTTATACTTAGTTAATGCTATATTTAAATGATCCGTCAACGTCTTAAAAGTATTCGTCATTCGAGTAGTTTGTAAAAGGGTCAAGTAGCACTTAAAAATTTAAAGTAGGTGTTGACCTTTTAAAAAGTTAAATTAAATAAAATGTATCTAAGTATTCATAATATTCTGTGGAAATCAAATCGATGGAAATAACTTTTCTGAGTCTTTATAGTATTATATAATTGAATATTAAATATTTAAAAAAAAAAGTGTTTAAATGAACTTCTAGTGTATATAATATATTGAATTCATTAATGATATACAGATATTTACTGTGTTAATACATTTTTTTTACTACTCATAAATAATGTATGTTATAGGTATGTATAATAATTATAAGCTGGTATTAGGTGTATAGTAATAAATAATCAATACATAAAACAGAAAAAAACCCTTGAAATAAATTTAAAAAAAGAAAGAACTACTAATTTAACAATGAATGCTAAAAAGTGATAAGAAAAAATGATAAAAATTCCTACTACATATAATTTGGAGTAATACGCTCAATTTCGAATTAAAAAAATACGAATTAAATCAAACGTCATCATAAAAAAACAACAAAGGATCCAGATAAGATAATACGTATTTACCCAGAGGTAACTTTTAATCTGTTAAGAAAATTATGTGAGATATGTGAGAAATTCAGGAACTTGAAGTTGTAGGGAATATAACCTTATTAGTATAATAGGGTGATAAATGTTGACACTTGTATAATTTAAAATAGGAATTGAGAAAAGTGCAAGAAAACTTATCCAGGAAAGTCAACTAGGTATTAGTCTTATAAATAAAAATTGATTGGTTAGTTATCTTTTTTATTAGTCGAGAATTTGAAACACTTAAAKGTATTGTCATAAACTACTTATATAAGCACTCGCATAACGGAATAAAATTTAGAATAATTGCAGCAAGCCTAGGGTTTACGCAATTAGTAAACATTTTTCATTTAAACTCCTCTCAAGAGGTACAAAATACTAACTTTATGTATTGCAGCCTTCTTAGTACTCATGCCGCATTATCAAGTACATGTGTGAGATAAGGTCATGTCCACTGGTTCACAATTTTAAAAATATTGAAAATTTAATTTTTTTCCTTAAATTTGTATGAATTTGTACGTTGTGGTTAGGTTGAGTAGTTTAGAATGCTTAGATATATTAAAATTTCTTCAGAGGTTTGGCGTAACGTCACACTAACCCGTCACTTAAGAAATCTGAACTTTTTTACCAATCTTTTACGCTCTATTTGTACGTATTTTTGTATACAATATGAACATTCATACACCTTTAGTTTGAGGGAGAATAAAAACCCCTTCGATAGACTACTATAGCWTCATACCAGTGCTTTGAATTGTTTTGATATATTTGAACACTTTTGGTCACACAAATTCTTATCCACTGCAAAAAAATCGTAAAAATAGCGTATATACTAATAAGGAAAGAAAAATAATATTTCGATATTTTAAAAATGCCCGGTTTGTGATTGATGTATCTATAACGAAAGTTAATGAAACTAAATTAATGGCTTTTGAAAGGAAAATACTTTGAAAAAAATGAACCTTAACCTTAATATGGTTGAATACGAGTGGAAAATGAATGTAGACTAAACAGACTATAAAATGCACACGACTTACGAGGTTCTGTAAAATAAAAAAAGGTTGGAATGGCTGGACTTATATGAACTGCAGAGAGGAAATTCATTAAACTAGTACTTACTAATAAGGTAAATAGAAAACGACCGATAGGACGATTACGTCAATGACGGATGGTCCGCGTGATTATAAGCGATTTAAATATTTTAACGGAAAGAAAGAACGTTGTTGAATATCTTTCATTAGAAGTTGCAAGCCTGTAAAAAGCTTCAATGGGCAGAAAAGCAAAAAATAATAATATATATTATATGACATGCAATATATCATTTTATATAAATTATACTTACATAATGTATTTTGTCCAGATTGAGATAGTTATATTTAATTGAACAGGTTTTAATAATAATAATTTCATGTCTATTCATATTTATAAAATTTTCTATTTTTCAAATTACATAGGTAATTTAAGTTCAGCATAACGTAAGAAAATAATATTAGTTGTGTTCATATATTATTTTATATAATACAAATATTCTTATTTGCTATATACTTTTAAATTATATAAATTATAATTTTGTAGAATGCAGTGTTTTGAAATTAATGTAAAAAAATAAATCGAAAATTGCAATGCATAATATTATATAAATATTTATAATTAATTTCATAGACAAGTTATTAGACATTTGAAATATTTTATTTTTATTTTTCCATTAAAATATCTTAATGTTTWAAAATGTATCAAAATCTCTTACTGTAAAGATGGTAGAAATGTTCTATTTCACTCACTTAGATAAAAAGGAATTCATGGGAGTGTACAGGAATGCGTGCTGTTTCGTATTAAACAGTTTTAGAGTTGCTAGCAATTTTAAAAGCACATTTCTCGTGTCAATACGTATCAAACATTAAATGGTTTTTCTTGTGATCCAATACGAGGTTAAGCGTGTGCCATTGAGCCAACTTTAAGACATCTTATCAAGATATCTGGTTCAATCAATTTTGGAATGCATATCAGCTGTTGAGAGTAGGATCTGAAGTTAGCACCTAATTATAAGTTAATGTTTTATATTTTTCTTTTGTTGCCTCGTGTCTAGTTTATCAAATTTACCTGATGCTTACTTACTCTATAAATAATTGAGCATTAATTTATTTTATAAGTGTACTAATCGTAAATAATATATGCACTATGCCTTCGATTTACCTACAAATTATAGTTTTTTATTTTTTTTTAATTACTATTTAAGTATTTCATTTTTGATATCAATTAACAGTATGAAAGTTAATACTGTTTCTAATTATTATTGGTAATATTTAATTTATATTATATACACTGTTTTTTATATACTTACCTAATAAAATATTTTTATTAGCTTTAGACATAGTTGTATTATGACTTGAATACAAAACATCAGTCACCAGGATTTTTGTTTTATTATTTTTATTTATTTTTATTATTTAGATTTGTCTATTTTTTATTAAAAAATACAATTCATCAAATAATTGTGTAGTTATCAGCAATATTATTATTTGTTTTATTTAAATTGTTCTTACAATATATGCTCGTAATGATGCACCTTACAAAGACTTCCAGCTACCCAAAATAACTGAGTATAAAAAAAATTAATTATCAACTTCTTAGACACATCAGTTCTGCTCACAGTATGAAATTTTATAGACTAAGTGACCAACCTTCTGTATGCCGATTCAAATGTGGACGCCCACACGACTTGATGTTAAAGCTATTATTTATTTAATTTTAATTTTTTTCTGATTTGTAAATATTTTAAAACTTAGCCGATAGTATCTATTATTACTAATATTTTTTTTCTAATTATTATTATAACATTAAATTATATATTTTTCAAATGTAAAAAAAATGTATCAATCAACACTAAGTTACTATGATATACGTCGGTAAAACTTTATTCAATAAAAAAATACAATATATAATGCGCTAGTAAAATTCTATACAATACGTCACGAATGTCACGTATGTCACGTATCACCATTGAATCCTCGTGGAAAATCAATATATTTATATAATATGGTTTGTTTTACAGGGATACATATTGAAATTTTAATTAAATGGCATAAGATTAAAATTTGTTATTTTAAACATACCGGGAGATTCTTTTATTATTGAACACTCATTATTTCAAAAATTACTAATGTTTTTGAAAATATTATTTTACATAGTTTCAAGTTGTTAAAAAAACCGTTTTTATTAAAAAAATATATTTTAAAATATTTTTTATCTTTATAATTTTTAAGTTTTTTTACTTTTTTGAATACAACATAGAGTTTTAATTTCATATTCCAAAGCAGAATATTTTTAAGATGAGTAGTTTATGATTTATAAGTATTTAAAGTTTAGACAAGCTTAGACAAGTTTAGAGTAGTAGACAAATATTTTGCGGGGTAACCCCGTACCACTCCACTCTGTCATTCTAAACTTTAAATACTTATAACTCATAAACTACTCATCCTAAATTCGGTTTTTATGAATTAAAATACTTAGAAAAATATTTTGCTTTGGAATATGAAATTAAAACTCTATGCTGTCATTCAAAAAAGTAAAAAACTTAAAAAATGATGAGGATAAAAAATATTTTAAAATAAATTTTTTTAATAAAAACGTTGGTTTTTGAACAACTTGAAACTATGTAAAAAAATATTTTCAAAAACATTAGTAATTTTTGAAATAATGAGTGTTCAATGATAAAAGAATCACAATATTTTTTTTATTAATTAGTCAATTAATATTGAAATTGAACAAAAATTGACTAAAGTGAGTCAAATTAAGTTGTTGACTTCATAAAAATAATAGTCATTTAGCAAAGCATGAATAAGATGATTTAATCAATTTGGCATATTTGTTTCTTTATGACGAAATATTTCGTGCCTATTCTGTTTTACATTATACGTTTAATTTATACGTTCTCAGCATATGATTATATTGATATGATAAAATGTTTCTCCTGAAATAGGTAATGAAAGTTACAGATAAGCTGCAAAGTTATAAAATTGAGTATCCAGATCATCAAAAACTATTGTACAATATAATATAAATAGATTAATGTCTCAATTTTTAGGAATAGGTAAAATCACGTTAGTCTTCTTGTCATAATGTTGTAATATATATATTTGTGTTGCACTAGTGTTTTAAACACTTAGGTAAAACTCTACTAATAATTAAATATTTAGATTATTTAACAAATCTGCGTTCCAATTGATGTTGATTAAATCTTGTGAATCATGTTTTGCTTTAACTTGGTCGATTTTCACCTAGTTTTAATAATTTTTTTTACCGTTTTGAAAAATATGATTATTGGAACTGTTGAAAAAAAAATTATAAGGATATTTATATACCTAAAAGTAATATGTGAGTATGTAACTTTTGGATACTGTAAATTATAATCAGTAGTCACGTGATACATAATGTACCTATATATAATGATAATCTCAAATGGGGCTAGGTAAATTGAGTCCGAAATAAGTTTGGTACATTTCGAAAGTGGTAAATTGAGTCCCGGGGAAAAATAGGTAGTAGGTAAGTTGAGTCCCGGAAAAAATAAGGCAGTAGGTAATTTGAGTCCCAAGGAAAAACGATTTATATGCATTTAAAATTTAAAAATGTGCACTATAAAATTTGTGTTTATGATTTGTGAACAATTCAACAACATGCATTTTTATTGCATAAAAAATAATTATATAATTAATAAAAATGCATGTTGCTATTTTCAAAATCATWTACATGYAGTCAATGAATGWCCACAAATCACAAATAACAATTTTATAGTGCATATTTTTAAATTTTAAATGCATATAAATAGTTTTTCCCTGGGACTCAAATTACCTACTACCTTATTTTTTTTGGGACCCAACTTACCTACTACCTATTTTTCCCCGGGACTCAATTTACCGAGTTAGGGTCATTTGGGTCTCAATTTACCAACCCCGTCCCAAATGGCTATATACGATGTACACAATATGAATCAATTATAAATTCACTCACTCAGAACCTAAAATGTATAGGTATTAACGCCTATGCTGAGCTATTAAAACGTTATCATTGGGTATGGTATAGGGGTTAAGAGATATTTAACAACTCTGCTAAGTTTAATATATATTTACTTTTACTATTACTTGACATTTAATAATTTTAAAAAAATAACATCAATTTAGTCCTTTTTATTATTCATCATGATTTATGGTTTATTGTAATTATATTAACTCATTCTTAAATTAAATTATTTGTTGTTATCTAGTTGTAATATTAAATAATACTATAGTAGAAAACTTAGATCACATATTTATGTTTTTGGTATAGGAAATAAGCGATTCTTGTACTTGGATGACACGACCACATCCCGTGCATGATTGGATCTACCAAGGGCCGGCGATAATAGTGTTGATAGTAAACTTAGTTTTTCTATCAAAAATCATGTGGGTAAGTTGAATTTTTTTTTTATTGTTCTTATAAACATCGGCGACAAAGGCCATTAGTTACAGTTATTTGTAAATAATTTTTTTTTTAGATTTAAATTTTATTATACAGATTTGTTTTGCTTAGAAATTTAAGGATTTGTGTGGTAGTAGTTGCGTCGGGTCCGAGGGCTGCATCTAGTGTGTTGGGTATTTCGAAATTTCATTGTTCAAGTTGAATTTTGTTTTCACTTTTAAAATGTACAATATTATATATACTTAAAAATATAAACTTAAGTTAAAAGGTGTGAAGATGCAGAGGATCCTTGAAATTATGGTTACCTGATGTATTTACATTTTAAATGCCAAAAAATAAACGACTGTTAATTAAATATTTTTATTTTTACTTGACGATTTTAGCAGTGGCGTTATTTTAGTTTTTGAGAGGGGGGGGGGCAAACGTTTTAACCAACCCATAATATGACTAAAAAAAAAAAATAAAAAAATACTCGCTAACAATTACATTTTTATCTCAATACCTTTTTACATAATTTTATATATAGGGTATTTTTTTTATCATGAACCACTCATTATTTCAAAAAGTATCAATGTTTTTGAAAATATTTTTTTTACAAAGTTTCATGTTGTTAAAAAAACAACTTTCATCTTGACATGAACTCACGATCGCTGTGATCAATTGATTCATGTGTGGTTTTTAGAATTTTGTAAAGTTCAACATTAAAAATTATTAATTTTTATTCATAAAATAATAATAAAATGTAATATAATATGAATAATATAATTATTAAATAATAACTTGTATGCATAGTTTTATAATAATATAAACTTATTTAATATTTAGGTAATATATATAATACTTATTATTAGTCATTGTATTACATTTTGTACTTTTCCTGCTCATTTTTTGGCGTTCATTAGAATACCTAGGGTTTCTTTATAATACCGAACTTAATACATTTCCAGTAACATATACAATATTTTATATAATATCATTGTTCATTGAAATCAAATTTAGCTTATCTATTACAGTGAATCAAATAATGACACCTAATTATATATAGCAGAGTGGTGCCAACTTATTTTCTTTTTTATGTTATATATCCATCTATTTTACTTAATACTTATACGTAGTATATTCTCGTAATTTTGGATGTAATCATGGCAATATGATTTACAAACTTATTAATTTAATATAATATTTGTATGATGAGTTGAATACATATTTTGGTGATATGATTATAATTAAATACTTAGTTATTGACACAACTAGATGTATAATTATGTCAGCATGCCATATTTTGGGGGTAAATAAACTATTATATTTTAAAGAAAACGTGTTTATAACATTGTATTACACTTATAGGTACTAATAACAAAGCTGAGATCAGCGAATTCGGCTGAAACTCAACAATACCGAAAAGCCAGTAAAGCTTTGTTAGTTCTTATACCATTATTAGGCGTTACGTACATACTAACCATGGTTGGCCCTACGGAATCCGGTACATACGCTAACTATTATTCCTATGGTAGAGCTACACTTTTGTCTATGCAGGTAAGCTTAAAATGTTGGTAAAAATATTATTATTATTTCGTAAAAATATCAGACAGGTATCTCAGGTGTTTGGAATTACACTTGACTGATATTTAATTGATTTGCTTAGTATAATTTAATCCGACTATCCGAGTAAGAGTATAGTATAAATGTATAATGCACGTTATATTTAATATTTAATAAATAATGTTAAAACTGAATATTATTTTTTAAAGTAACGATCTTATTGTTTAAAATTATAAAATAATGAATTTAAAAAAAGAATTTTTAGTTAATTAATTTTAACTAAAGATAAAACAAATGTATTTTCTTTTTATCCTTGATACATTCAAAGCAATGTTGTAATATGTTTCAATGCTAGTTTAAATTTACATGTTTGTGATTAATTTTTATTTGCACAGGGCTTTATGGTAGCAATATTTTACTGCTTTGTTAATTCTGAAGTTAAGAACACGTTCAAACATCATTTCATTCGATGGAACGACGCGAGGAATTTGAGGACCGGTGGTAGCCGAAGATTTACTTATTCAAAGGATTGGTCACCGAATACAAGGTCCGATAGTGTCAGGTATTATTTTAATCTACTTGATGTCTTGATGTAATCTTAAACTGAAACAATTATTCTTATTTGTGGATGGCGATCAAATGTTTTTATAGGTGGTCAATGTCTAGAAGATTGCCCTCTCAAGTATAATAACAATTTTTTTTAGATTTTTAATGAATTCATAATATTTTACTATTACCTGAATAAAAATCAATGTAAACTAATATTTACGATTATGTAAAAGCTGTTATATATTTAAATAGTATTTTTGTTTAGGTAAAATTGTACACACCAATGAACACATTACAATGAGAAAAATAATTAAATTATACAATTATACCTACTTCACTAGACACTAGCTTTCTTTGCTATATTTTTAGTTTTATTAAATAAACATATTTTATAAATATTCAATACGCTTTATTTTTCAGAAATTCGAATTAATTTATACCTATTATATTTTAAAAATAATTTAGATTTCCAATAATCAAATTAAAAATAATTTTGGGAGCATTGAAAAATATAATAGGTATGGAAGATATTCAAAATTTAATTTATATACAATATATAACATCATATTATTATTCAACTCTTTTGTTTTTTTTTTAATTATTCGGGCAATTTTGATAAAACAATTTGACATTTCTACTTGTTTAAACAATTCATTTAATTTATTTTTTCATTTCAAAAATAATAATTATTTACGATATTTGAGTTTTCTTGTTTRGTGTAATGTTAATATAAACGTTCCACGAGAGTGATAATTATTACATTATATTATCGAAATACTCCCAATTAAAAATTATAAAAATGTTTGACAGGAAAATATATTAACTAGGAATAAATTTATTAGAACTTGTGTTAATAATAATAATAATACTGTGGCTTGGTGCAGAGGTGCTGTCGCACGCTCAATCTGCGGAAACGCATTGAGCTTACGTACCGGCTGCAGTTGCTAGCTCCCGGATGAGTGACCACCGTGATTTGTTACAACTCTATCAACTTAAAACCTACAAATAAACACACAAAAATAACCCCTACTGTACCACCTCACACCTAATTGCCTATGTTACCGCGTGTTTTTCCTAAGAAAAATAAATAATAATACTTCTGAATTTAAATTAAAATTTTAGTTCGTTTTGAATTTAAATGCATGAAATAAAATAAATAACATAAATAAAATATAGGTATAGAATAATTATTATGGTAAATAAATAAAAATAAGTGTTAATTAATCAATCGGGGGTTATCTTAATAGATTGTAAGATTATTTTTTTTTTTTTTTATTAAAATAGAAAAAATATACAATCTGTATAACATAATACAATAAGTAATTTAGATAAAATTATAAGATTATTTAAAAAAAAAATTTGATTTTGAAATCAAACATAATAAAGAAAATATAATGCCAATATATTTTTTTTATCCACATGTTTTTGTAAACGATCTAATAATCGAAAATTAACCTGTGAGGATTTTACGCATGAATCTTGATACAATACAGAGTTTTGAAAGATAAGTATTGAGTAGTATTACTATAACTTACTATAATGTCCGGCTAAAATTAAAACAAATAGGTAAAACCGAAATTTAGGTTTTAAGTGCATTGATGAAAGAGTATTTAATGCAATTATTTTTTAATTTCGAGTAATGTGAATACTTGATTATTTTTCTTTTAATTTAAATGAGTATAATGATACAGTCTATAGAAACAACATTTTTGCAATCTTCAACTACTTATAGGGTATCTTGTGGTAGAAAATTAGATCTAATCGGATTTAATTTAATTTATTTGTTTTTTTGTTTGTGGAGGGGGGGAGGAGAGTTAATTAATTTTTGACTGTAAGGTATATTTGGTATTTAAATCTAGTTTTTGATTTATGTTAATAATGTTTTTATCGAAATTAAAAGCTTTTAAATTTAATAAAATATATTTTCTAAGTTAATCTTTATATTACTCGTATAATAATTTAAAACATATTTTATATTTTGTTTGAAGATCACTTTGAAATCACAAAAATTTGCAAATTGTTTTAATTTATTTACATTTATTACAAAATATGCTAAGGCCAAAAGCAAAAAGAACAATATAACTACCGAGTAGTATGGGGTATATAAGACCCTACAGTAACTTTAAAAAAAAATAAAAATATTTTATAGTAAAATATATAGGGAATTAGTTTTACACCAATCACTGATTGTACAATGTACATCATGTATTTTGAAACACTTCTTTGTGACTTTTTCAAATTGTTATAATTAGAAAAACATTTTCAACATTTTTAAAGATATCAAGTTATCTTTTTAATCAAAAATCAGTAATGAGGTTACTTTATTTTTATTTTACGTACCTACTTAAAATACATGCACTTGAATTAAAAATTGCTTAGTTAAAAATTARCTCGATTTTATGTTGTATATTTTAATATTTGATTTCAAAGTTAATTGATTCTTTATAATTATAACTTTTTAAGTCGTATTCCTATAGTACTTTTTTTCCAGTAAAATCCATTTATTGTAGTTTTAATGCACGTGGATGAAATCTAACATTATAACTTATGTTACTAGTATGAACTTTTTATAATAATACTACACATTTTCAATTTAATATAATTTAATGTATTAAATTTAAATATAAAGTAATAAAATAATAAAGTAATAACCAATAAGTAAAAGCAATAGGGGCTGATTTTTTGTGATAATACATTAAAAAAAAACCAGTTATTTTATTTTTGTATTTTAGAACTGTTTATAATAAATGTAAATTGTTCATTAGTTATGCTTCTCATTTAGAAAGTTCATCCTGTCTCATAGCGTTCTCGTGTCTAGGACGACGTCACTAACAATTCGTTTTATGTCAACGTTCCTAAATTATCAATAGGTAATATGTAGATATTTAAAATGTTCTTTTATCTCTCAAAGTTAAAATGCGATTTTATTTCCATGATAGGAATCTACTTCTGAAAATGGTCTAATAATTAAAACGGTTAACTGTRATAGTTAGTTGAAAATGTTTGATTACTAAAAGAAAATGATCATTTAATTATTTTGGACTCACAACGCCCGTCAGATTCAGGTCAATTACCCTTTTTTATTTGGATTATTCTATCTAAATTGAATATAAAGAATACGAGTTCTTATTAAAATCGGGTTTCCGTACTAAATACTTGCAAGTTTCCAACATTTGTGGTTGGGTTAACAAACTTCCATTGCCTCAGCTGACACCTACTACGATACGTACAATTTATTGGTGAACATATTGGAATATCTTGTTCTATAATGCGTTAAATAACGCGAGTTGCTATTTAGATGCGCCTTATATTTCGGTAAATAAATCTTCAACTATAAAGGTTTTGCGTCATACAAAAATCTTTATTGATTATAAAAGCAAGAAGCAATATGTTAAATAAAATGATGACTCATGAAATTCTCCCAATCGTTATGTTAGGTCATATAATAACTTTAAATAGGTACTTGAAACATTTACTTACTATTATTATTATCGTATGGATATCATAATATACTTTTCATAATATTTTATTTTCACATCATAAATGTTTGAACGTTTTAAAGTTGTTGTTACTACCTATATTAAAAATCTCAAAAACCTTATACAAGTTCATCATGAGTTTTCATTATATTAGTTGGGCTTGACAGATTAGGTTTATTTTATTTATGTGTGTATCTAGTTAAAATTCTGACAAAATCAAATAATATTATAAAATAACAATTATTCAATAGATTTTAGTCATTTTGATGTTATTCAAATATTATATAAACTGTAAAGAACTAAAACGTTTTACCATAACATATATTTTTATTTTCTGCCCACAATCAAATTTCAAAATAATTTGATTGATCTCGAGTATTTTACCACGAATCCACACACATMATTCTACATTACTTCACTAGTTATTCAGAGCATTGTGGCTACAATCAGAGCGTATCTTACATTAACTCTAAGAATAAGTCAAGAGATACGCTTGAAGATTTAAGGCCTCCATCATCACCATTTCTCTTGAATGAATCCGACGGACAAACGACCGCGGGTGGAAATTTCTTGCGTACTGTTTCGTATAGAAGGTGGTTAGTTATAGTCATTACCATAGCCTAAAGTTTAAGTGAAATCAAATGTCTACTCGAATTCACGACCTAAGTCCAAAGCTCGAATAACTAAAAATTGAGTTGTGATCCGTAAAACGTAGACTAATGTATCCTCGAAGTGACCTACATAATGACGAGGTACATTCAAAACCTACTAAATAGTATAACTACAATACTACATGCTCCAATTACTCACGCCTCCACGATAATGTTCTATTATATTCTTGTAGTGTTATTAAAATTTAATTATATACTTTTTTAATAAAAAACTAAGTATCTGTAAATCATTTAATCGAGTAGGTAATCATTTAATCAGAAGTTATAGGAATTATATAGGAAAAAGTTAGTCTAAAATTTAAAATAAAATACAATGTTACTCGGTCAATGATAAGATACACTCAAAATCTACTAAACAGCAGAATCAAGTCCCCAAGATTTTTCAAATATTTCAAWAACAAAATTATAACAGCACGGCGTTATAAATAGGCAATTTAGCTACATTCATGTGGTGAGTTCAGTTTTTCAGTATCTCAAAATAAATTATGCTATTATGATATAGCAGTGGTGACTCATGAGGTTCACATATGGTGGAGCACAAAAAATGTATAAGCCACAAGGTACCAATGTATAATTGTAAAATTGTGCCTCCTGGAGCATAAAAAGTGTATGCCTCCCGAATTATTTATTCGTTAATACACACAGTGCTCAACAAGAAAATCTACAAAAACTCTTTTTTTTTTTTAACAATATACGTAATTTATGATTTTATTTTTATTACAGATCATGTGTATAATAGTTAATCACTATATGAATCTAATAATTTGTATATAATAATGTTTTTGTGTGATTCACGTGATCCTGTGCCACTGCACTATAATGATGATAATATTTGAGTCCAAACAACTGACCACTAGACAATTTATGTATCTGACACCACTGACGTACGTGGCCCTAATGTCAAACACACACTGAACATTCACCCAAAGCCAGTTACACCGAAACTAATAAAACGGCGTTGATCAATAGCATAAAATAGTATACCTATTCTTTCAACATTTTATTGAACTGTATCGAAT